GGTTAGTGATTAGCCAAAGCGTGCCCCAAGCCGGCGGGTTGGGGAACCGTTGCGGAACGGCAGGGCCACAGGAAGAAAATCCCTCTAAATTTGGAGGAGTGAGAGAAAACAATCCTAGAACCGCGAGAACAAGGGAAGAAAACCATCCCAGGTTTGCGGGAATGACGGAAGAGAAAATAATTCGAGATCTGCAAGAGTAACACCCAAGAAAAATCAACGCTTTCGCACGAATTGCAAAGAATAAGAGAAGAAATTTCTTTGCAAATTGCAAGGATAAGAAAAGAAAATGATCCTAGGATTGCAAGAATAAGACAGAACCATTCTAGACTTGAAAGAATAATACAACTTCAGAATGGCAAGAATAAGAAATAAGACTAGATATAAGAATAAGAATGGCAAGAATAAGACTAGATCTAAGGAAGAAATTGTTTACGCTGAGGGTGGTGAAGCACTGGCCCAGGTTGCCCAGAGAGGTGGTGGATGCCCCATCCCTGGAAACATTCCAGGTCAGGCTGGACGGGGCTCTGAGCACCCTGATCTAGTTGAAGATGTCCCTGCCCACGGCAGGGGGGTTGGACTAGATGGCCTTGAGAGGTCCCTTCCAACCCAAACCATTCTGTGATTCTAGGATTCTAAGAATGCAAGAATGAGAAATTGATTCTAGGATGGCAAGAATAAATTTATTCTAGATTTGCAAGAATAACGCATAAGAAGAAAATAATTCTAGAATTGCAAGAGTAATACATAACAATTCTACAATTACAAGAATACTACATAATTCTAGAATTACAAGAATACAAGACAATCATTCCATAATAAGACAATCATTCTAGAATTACAAGAATATAATAAAATAATTCTACAATTACGAAAAATTGCAATAATTACTCTTGTAATTCTATACTTTGTGTCCCAGCCCCTCTCCTCGGTGGGCACGGGCCAGTTGCAAGAGTAAACATAACAATTCTACAATTACAAGAATACTACATAATTCTAGAATTACAAGAATATAAGAACAATTATTCTAGAATTAGAAGAATATTCCATAATAAGACAATCATTCTAGAATTACAAAAATAAAATAATTCTACAATTACAAAAAAATGCAATAATTACTCTTGTAATTCTATACTTTGTGTCCCAGCCCCTCTCCTCGGTGGGCACGGGCCAGTTGTGAAATTTGGTGACCATTTTGTGCAATGCCCCACGGCGTGGCGTGCTCCTGAGGCTCCGGTACCGTCACCCACGCAGGTCCTTGGGACCTGCAGGAGCAGGAGAGTTCTAGTTTGTGACCATCTCCGCCTGCCTGCGGCAGCGGCCCCGTGTTTCACGAGCACCCTG